CGTAACAATATCTTTTACACATATTCAACTCACAATCAGGTGCAATATTATTATAGAACAATGAAGTGATAGACATGGTTATTTAGATACTAATTTCTTGACTAATCTGGTTTATAATTCATTAATTCAGATTCATTTGGTTCACTGGAATTCTGATAAGTATAAAAGTTTTGAAGAAGCAGCTTCAAATGGAGATGGACTAGCGGTGTTAGGGATATTTCTACAGGTTAGTAGTTGATTAGTTATGCTATGAACATAGTATAGTTATTGTTACTACTGTCAAAGTATTGTTTTAAGTTTCTTTTTTTCTATTTGTTGGTTAGCAGTACTTTTTCAATTAGAATATTTATGTAAAAAACTTTCTTCTTTGATTGACAGAATTGTTTGTATTGTAAATTGAGTGTCTATTCTTTAAATAAGTAACAAAAATAATTGGGTGACATTTTGAGCACCTGCTTGCTTTTTGTCAGTGCTTGTCTAAGCCTATTTTAAACAACAGGCTTAAACGAAGCAGTTAGGCTTAAACAACGCTTGTAAAAAGCAGTTGCCCAAAAAGGCTGTGTTTTTTTTTTTTTAACTTGTGCCAATTATTTTAGACTTACTTCCTCAGTTCCCACGTGAAACCTAACTGTTCACATTATTGGATTGAAAAAAATTGAAATGTTTAAAACTGAGGCTATATAATAGCATACAAAGAATGAAACTTGTTTCTCTCTGTGTTGGAAGGCAGGAGATGAACACCCTGCACTGAAAAAAATTTCTGACAAAATGTCTGACATTGTTTACAAAGACACCAGTGTTACTTTACCTGAAGATTTTAATCCTGTAGAACTTATCCCTGGTAAGTTATCCCGATTTTATATTTTACCTTGACAGGTTATCTAACCATTACAATATAGCATTTTACCTTGATAGGTATTTGTTGCAAAGATTGCAATTAATATAAAACTTGCAATGTGGCAATATTTTGTACAAGGTATTTGTATGGTCAAATGTAAATTTAATCTCTCTTGTATGCTATATTTCAATAAAAAATATGCACTTGTCCAAAGTTAGGTTTATCTTAATGTTATTACTTTGTGTTGAAGGATTCTCTTGGCTTTGATAGTGTTGCTATAATTTACTAAACTTAGGGACAAGTACATTTTATATGTCTTGATGTATCAAATTTAGAATCTTTGGGCTTATTTTATTGTAGAAAAACAAAGCTATTGGACGTATCTAGGGTCACTAACAACACCACCATGTTATGAGAGCGTTACCTGGATTGTGCTAAAGAACCCCATACAGGTATCAGAAGATCAGGTAAGAAATGCTACATTGGATTGTGCTAAAGAATCCCATACAGGTATCAGAAGATCATGTAAGAAATGCTACATTGGATTGTGCTAAAGAACCCCATACAGGTATCAGAAGATCAGGTAAGAAATGCTACACTGGATTGTGCTAAAGAACCCCATACAGGTATCAGAAGATCAGGTAAGAAATGCTACATTGGATTGTGCAAAAGAACCCCATACAGGTATCAGAATATCAGGTGAGAAATGCTACATTGGATTGTGCTAAAGAACCTCATACAGGTATCAGAAGATCAGGTGAGAAATGCTACACTGGATTGTGTTAAAGAACCCCATACAGGTATCAGAATATCAGGTAAGAAATGCTACATTGG